GTTGAAAGGGTTAAGCATCTATTAGAATTAGAATTCAGTCCCACATACCCAGTATGCCCAATATTGGCACGGGACTGTGACCATCCAGTTAATGTGACCAGATGAGCATAAGCTATTAAAAATATTTACCTGAAGAAAATGCCTGTTCGAAACACTGACACTGATGATACTGCAGGGATCCCTGGGAATGGAGCAGTGTGAGAATGTGAGGGACAGCAACATGTGAGGCACAGCAACACAATTGGCATTTGTAAGCATTTGGAAAACAAAACAAAAAATAAACCAGAGCTTATCATTTCCAGAAGAACCGAGGTTGGCAAACGCATAACTGGATGAGAAAAGTAAACAAAAAAAAAGTTCCTGGTCCCAAACAAACCACAGCTGCAAGGTAGGTCAATTCCAGATAGTTTATTTTGTACCTTTCCTCCTGGTCATCTTGAGCCTTCCAGGTAAATTTGTTAAGAGGCTTCTGGTGGGTGAAAGGGACAGGACCGGTGTGTAGCAAATCAGTCCACATCAGTTGTCCCAGGGAAAAATCATCCCAACAAGCAGCTCTTTGAGTAAGGGACCACGAGGCACGGTGGTTGCAGGCGGTGAAAAATAGGCCTGGTCCCCTAACTCAGATTCCTTCTCAATCAACAGGATCTGTTCTCCCTGCTAGCTGCACTTTCCAAACACAGTCTGTCTCTGATTACCTAGGGGTGTGACCAAAATCTTTCAGCTAGCTCAGTAACAGAATAGGGGACCTTCTTGATACTAACATCAGAGTACCCACCTTCACTCTCCTTGTATGCATGCCCCTTTAGTATCAGAGGGTAGTGAAGGGTCACCAGCTTTTTGGGCTCTCACATTCTCCAGATTTTCTCTTCAATAAAAGTCACTATCTGGGAAACTAGTATTTATCTCCCTCTCTTTTAACGACCATTCTCTGTGGGCTTGCTGAAGGAGGGCTTGTTGAAATTTTCCTCTTTTACAGTCCCATAAGATCTCCTACTTGATCCAGCACATATGTAACCAATTCCTGCAAGGACTGAATAATTTGGGTTTCTCTGTGTACTGATCTTTGTGGTTCTCTATGGCGGCACTAAGAGCAGCTCCTAGAACTACACAAATGAGTGATTTTTCCCTTGCTCTCCTCCATACAAATCTGCTTCTGGAGCGATGTTCTATGAGCTGCAAATCCCTCTAAGATGGGCCAATTATTCTGTGCCCACTCCAACTGCATGGAGGGAGGGTTTGACACTGTGCTTTTTAAAGAGGTCGAGGAGCCGATTACTGCCTTTTTTTTTGTTTGTTTGTCCCCTCCATTTGTTAGTGATCATGTCTCAAAATGTGGAGCTATCTGCTCCAGGGGGAACACTCCCTGCAGCCCCTAAGGGTACTCAGGTACTCTTTCCTACTGATAAGATAGTTGCTACTACCACGCAGACACAGTTGGGCTAACCTCGAGACATAGTCTAATAGCTCAGGTGAGTACACAATAAGTACTCTTTAGTCTCCCTATTGCTGTGTTACGACTCTTAAAACCACTTCTTCACTGACAGTTACAAGAAGGCAAAACAGTTCCTTTAAAGCAAGCAGTTCTAACACAGGTGCTGTGATTAAATCCTACTTCAATACTCCTACTAATTCTTTTCCCTCTTCTGTCCATTTTAATGCATTCAGTTCTCCCTCTGATAGTTACAATCTCTTTGTTTTTTTTTTACGCATGCACTTCTACTCATCACCTACAGTATCCAGTTAGACCTAGAAACTTTGACAACTCCCTCTTCTACAGCAAAGAAAGCTGTACAGTTCTTTCAGAGCTCTCCATTTCCCCTCAGAAATTACATGCCCAACATATCTGACTTATTTTTCCACATACCGCAGTTTATGTTTAAACACTCCTAGCCCTTCCTCCCCAAGAAATTCAGGAGGTTATTTCATAGAATCATAGAATGAATCCTAGAATAGCTTGGGTTGAAAAGGACCGCAGTGATCATCTAGTTTCAACCCCCCCTGTTTTGTACAGGGTCACCAACCACCAGACCATGATGCCCAGAGCCACATCCAGCCTGGCCTTGAATGTGGATGGGGCATCCACAACATCCTTAGGCAACCAGTTCCAGCCTATCATGCACATTCTGCAACACCTTTATCCCCTCTTCAACTTGAAACTTCTCCAAATTTTTTCTCCAGCACTCATCCAAGTAAACTAGGTGATTTTGTGAATCCTTGAGGTACAACAATCCACCTATATTATTGTTTTCATTCCTTTTCCATGTCCTCCCTTTCAAAGGGGAAAAGACCTCAACTGTGGTTGAAAGAAAATAAATCATCTTTTAAGTCTGTTATGCTGAACTGTTCTTGTCTGTGCGCAATCCAACTCATTAAGTAGAGGGGTTAGGAAGCATGGTGCATCACTTGACAACTGTTTCATTAATTTTCCTTAGATCTTTTACCAGCTGATAAGTGCCATCTGCCTTCTGTACCAGCAAAAGGCAAGTGGTAAAGAGTGACATACAGAGTTCCACAAAACCATTCTTAACTCATGTTTGTATTACAGACTTCAGACCCATTATCCTTTCTGAAGGTATGGGATGTTGTCGATGTTCTGCAGCTTCACTCCCTCCTTGGATGGTGATTTCTAAGTGAGTAACTGTGAGTCCACCCCTGTTTCTTTTCCCTGTCCACACCTTTGCATTTGTTTTTCATCATCAGCTGTTAACAAATTCATTGATACCTTGAAAACTAGCAAAACAGATATAAACTGCAATCCTAGTTTAACTATCAAATCTCTCCCCAGTGAATTGGTCCCTGCTTTTTGGCTCGTATAACAATCACCCTTTGACTGTTTTATCTTCCCATTTTAATTCAGTAGCCTCAGTAAGTGAAAGTATCATTCCTGATCCCTCTACCACAGTTATTCTCAAGGTGTTCCCATTTACATTCAGTCCTAGTATTTTATAAGTTAAATATGATCGACAATTGATTTAATTGTTTTGCTAAACCAATAGGATCTTTCATTAGTGATTTCAATTTCCTTTTAAAGTTTCTCACATCTCCACTGCTAAGTAGGAAGTTTACTTATCCAGCAACTCTGGTAACATTGCATCTTACCTAAGAACATACTCACACGAGTTAGTGGAGTTAATAGCGTCAGATTTAACAAAGCAAGAATTTATAATACCTCCTTTGCACTGTTTCAGTTCTTTCTCAAGCTGGCAGAACTTGTTCTTTTCAGCATCAGCACTAGTCACAGAACTCCGCTCAGGTGGACTGCTAAGGGGCTGATGCGAGCCCATGTCTTCCAGTCTGTCAACTGTCTCTAGCCTCACTCCTGTAGTTAGACAACTTGACTAGAGGCCAGGATATTAAAGGGGAATGCCATTTGGTAGAGGAAAGCGACTGAGTTTAGTGCTAGGGAAAGGTACAGAGACTAAACAGCTTAAAAGATCCCAGTTGGGGTTTCTCTGTTCTTCCTTACCTACAGAATTTTTTGTAGCCATGATTAACTGCTGTACTCCCTAAATCCAATAAGCGACGTATGTGGACTCATCCTCCAAAGCAAAAAAAAAAAAAAAAAAAAAAAAAAAAAACAATAATAAAAAAAGCAGTTGTACTGTTTATGTGCACGTTTGAAACCTGACAAATACGATCCTCGTCAGACTTGTACTTCAGCCAAAATACTCATTCCCCTGCAATTGGTTATTCAGGCCTTACAAGACCAACACAACATCTAATCATTTCCCATTTATCGTCATTGCCGGTTCTCTAATTTCCCTTCCAATTTTTCGTTATATTTCATAAAGGGCTTATAGCAGTCACTGCCCGGGGGCCCTCTCTCTGTCCCCCACCTTGGAACTCTTATTCCCCATTTCCCTCAGCAACCTACAGCCATGCTACTACAGGAACTGCTCTTCTGCAGGGTCGTGCACAGCAATTCTCAGCTCTATGAAATGAGGTGTACCATCAACCAATCCTTCCTGTGAGACATTCACATACAGCATAAGAGTCCCAGACCTCAACCTCCAAGTCAATACTTAATCACATGTCTTGTTCTTACCCTGGTCTGTGCACAGCAGACACTGCAATGCCTGCTATGTTTCCCTAACCCCCAATTGTTCACATACCTTGCCTTTCAAAACTGTCTTTGGGTTCAGAGCTGGTTTCACAATGAACTACCACTGCCAACCTGCAGGGCCACAGAAATAAGAGCGGGGTATGGTAGAGGTGCAGGCTCGCAGCAGGTGACTTTGTTTCCTGGATTTCAGCACCGACTTGTGAGAGACACACTGTACAATCAATGAATGTGTAGATGTTACAGTTATGAGGTATACCAGAGAGCTTGGCTATATAGTTATTACAGCCAAGCAGAGAAAATAGGACGCTTACCCATATCCTGGGCTCACTTGTGAAACTCCAGTGGAGTGGATCTCCACAAGACATCCTTCCCCACTGCTAGTCAGCTTTTAAATGGGTCTAGTAGAGATGGAGCCAGGCTGTAAATTGTTTCTTGCATTCAGTGCAAACTTCTGGAAAAACAAGTAGTTATTAGTCGTAAGTGCTCCTGTGTCTGGAAGTCAAGCTCTCTTGCCCTAATTAAAGAAATCACTGGATTCCGAGACTCACTGGGAGGCAGAGGCCCCTTGTTTTAATCCTTAGCAGTACCACACGTCTACATGTTTCTAAGAGACTGCTGCTTTTTAGATGTACCTCAAATTCTGTAATGTCACCAGACAACATCCATTGCTGCCTTCTTACAGAGAATAGATGCCCTTCCTGCATGAGGCAGTAGATTGTCAAGATAAAAAGTGATAGAAGTAAGGCTTAGTTACGTTTTGACATGAACAAAGAGAAGTTATATGTGTGTATTTTTTCTCTTCTTCACTGTAAATTTTTAAGACCCTTGTTTGGCTTGAGTGAAATCTTAGGTGAGGGCCTTGATGTTATTTTTAAGATAGTGAATGATTGTAGGTAACTGTTGTTCAACATTTGGGTAACTTAAATTTGTATTTCAGTATCTCTGTCCAGGAATGTTTGAACTGCATTGTGATGAATTAACAAATGCTTTGGCAAAGCGAGCAGATAATATTAGTGAAAAAATTATTGCCAAAATGCTCAAGGATCGTCAATGTAAGTGTGAGGAAACTCAAACTGAAAACGTTTTTTGAAATATGTTTAGTTTTGCTTCCACTGCTGAACTTCATAAAACTTAAAGCATATGATAATTTATTTTTTGCTGTTACAAATGTATGTGATTTGTCTAAGGATGACTAAAACAAAACAAGCTTGCCAAACTGCTTATTTGTTTTTCAGGCTATGTGATGAATTTGAGAGAATATCAGAAAAAGCCCTTAGTACTCCATCTAGTACACAGGAGCTAATGGAACTTAAGGTACTCTCTTCTTTTTAATGAGACCAAGCAAAAACAGCTATGAATACTATTATTCTGTCCTGGAGTAGTAGCATATGCAAGTTAAGCAGTTAATGGGTGTGATTCTGACCCTCTTGTAGTCACTGACGTTGTATCTGTGTTACAGAATTTAAAAGGACAGGTCATCTTTAGCCATGAGGCTAAAAGGCATAGCCTGGCTCTTTTAGAAACATCTAAACTCTTCCTCACTGAATCATCATTCTTGCAACTGAACTGCCTACCTAGAATAGTCTTTTGTCTCTGCAATCTGTGATATTGTTGGAAAGCGAGCGTGTTGACATGGACCAAAACTCTGTAAGGCAGTGCTCTCTGAAGTGAGGTGTGTGCAGATCAGAGGCTGCCTGTGATCCATTGTAGTGCATATTAGAACTTTCGTATTTATTTATCTAAACAATTGAGGAAGAAATTAAGCTTTACCAATATCTAATATATAGATTGACACTGGTCCCCTTTGCCTGGTCCGCATGTCAGAAGGTCTTGTACCATCTACGTATGCATCCTGAGGAAGACTGGATATTCCACAATGTGAAGGGTCACAGTAGCACCCTCGTTCATTCATTTTCAGCGTATTGTAATTAATGCATTGCAGTTTGTGTGCTTACAGTGGCACACAAATCTGCAAAAGAGTGGGTTTACAGATTGTATTGTTCAGTTTTAACTAACCTAACTCCCGCCAAATGGGCAAGTGGCTTAAAAAGATTACCACAGAGAAACTGCTTCTTGAGCATAATGCTAATACTGTGGGAGCAAAAGAAATGAACAAGAATTGATTGAACAAGAATGACAGAGCTGACGCTTCTGGTACAAGTTCTTTGTCAGCCATGTCATCAGATAAAAATAATGATGACTTAATCAAAGTTGACAAGAAGTTGGCAAAAAAGCTGCTGACTTGACTGGAATTAAAAAGAAGATGCTCAGAAAAGAACAGAAACTCGTGACATTCATTCACTGCATCAATCACAGGCATCCTGTGAGGTATTTAATGCCTTTTTGAGGTACTTCATGCCTGATATACCTCAGGCTTCATTAGTAAAGCTAATAGTCCTTAGGGTGTTCAGCCCCTTGATTTGGAAAACGGTGATGGAGAGAGATGAATTCCTTATAATTCAATGGAAAACTGTAAGTGCACTCATTCATGTTTTGAAATTTCTTGAGTCTTTAGCACTGGACAAGATTCATACTAATGAAGCCCTCACCAAGCTACTTTGAATAATCTACCAGCAATCCTGGCTAATGTGGGAGGTCCTGTTTGACTGGAGATTAGTAATGTAATTCCAGTCTACATGAAAGGCAGGAAGAAAGATCTAGGGAATTATACATCTGTCAGTCTGAACTATGTTGCAGGGGAAACTGCAGAGCAGATCATCTTGCTTGCTATCACATGGCATATATGAAACAACCAAATGATCTGAGGCAGCCAGCTTGGATTTATGAACTGTAGGCCCTATCTGACTAACTTGATCTCCTTTTTTGGCAAGATGAACTGCTGAGTAGGTGAGAGAAAATCTATGGATATTGTTTATCTTTTTTTAGTAAAGCATTTGACACCATCTCCCATAGTGTTCTCCCAGAGAAACTGGCATCTCATTTCTTGGACAAGTATATTGTTCTCTAGATGAAGAAGTGGCTGGATGGCTGGACTCAAAGAGTCTTAGGGAGTAGAGTTCAATCCAGTAGGTGGCTTTTAATCAGTGGTATCTTTTAGAGCTCAGTCTTTTGGCCAGTTTTTTTTTAATGTTTTCATTATTGGTCTGGATGAGGAGTTTTAGTGCATCCTCACAGGAGATACCAAATTAGGTGACACTGTTGATATGTTTGATATTAGCAATGCTTAGCAGGGGGATCTGGATAGGCTAGATTGATGGGCCCAGTCTAATCGCGTAACATGTAACAAGGCTAAGTGCCAGATTTATTAAGTGCAGCCAACTGATTGATCTCTGGTTGAGCCCACGAGCCAGGCCTGTTTTAGTTAATGAAGTGGGTATAACTGAGAAGTTTAATCACAGATTTGTGTGAGGCAAAGATTTCAAAGATATTGTCTTGGAGCAAGTGTACTGTTTTATTTATATCTCCCTCTAGCTAGTATAAGGAGCTAACAATTTCTGCATTGCAACATACCAGTATAATTAAATTTAGATCCCGTGTTCTACAGGCTTCTCAACAGATAGTATATTCAAACAGTGAATGTTTCTTGGTTCCTCCGATTTAAATTCAAGCAGTTGAATTTGATGTTGAAGACTCAAAATCCATTTGTAATATCCTAAACTAATCAAAGAAACCTCTTGAAACCTCTGATGTAAGGAGCTTAAATATGTATTTAGTTCTTAACAAGAAACCTTTAAGAAGCACTCATTGGCAAGTTGCATGAAGTAATTTTCTTTTGACATACTGTGTTGAATTATCATTTAAAATTTAGTAGATTAGGGTTTACAGTTTGATAGCTAAAATCCCGTATTCTCACTTGCAAATACCATTTCTGTAATCAAAACTCTGCTGTTGCTTTGATGTATTCAGGCTCCAGTTCAGCAAAGTATTTGCATATGCATTTGAAACAACATGACTTAGTCTGTTGCTACTCAGTCAAGTTTTGATGTACGTGCTTGTTATTAAATGTGTGGAATGTAGATGTGTGCTTGAAATAATTTGGGCTCCTGCGTGGTTGGCTGAATGTGAATCTGAGTGGTTTGAGCTTTTGTTACGGTGAAGCCAAACATAGAATATAAGAGCAGTATCTTTTTCTGAATAAAAAATAGAATGTTTAGAAGTTTAAATCTGTGCTGAGAATATGTTGCCTTTAGAATACATATGATACTATGTGTGTCTGCTGGAGGAATAAAGTCGCAAATTACCATACCTATATGTAACGTGCAGTATTTTAGCCAGCATCAAAGTCTATTTCTAACAGTTATTCCATAATTGCTGGAGGGCTGTCTCAGTCTCCGTTTGGATTCTTTTAATACATTGTTGTTTGTTAGGTCCGTACTAATAAATGCATTCTGGTACGTAAAGACTGCTATTAAAAATGAGCAGAAGTGTAGATTCAGTGGGTAGTTTATCCCTACCTAAAAATGTTTCCAGTAATTTCACATTATGTCACATTAAGATTTTCTTTATCTTCAACTGTGATATCAGTTTTTATACATGCTGGTGTGTTACTGATCTGTCAAATTGGCCAGATTATTACTAATGCAGCTCTTCTAGAGGCTTTCAGAAAGCATTGTTACAGACTGTCATTTAAACTGGGCTGTGTTAAAGTTCTGTTAAGTGTGCTGCACGTTGCTTACGTGTGTCAGCACAGTTCACTGCCAACTCATGAGATTTGAAAGAAGAGTGTAATTTGTATTTCAGTCATAATGAGCAGTGCAGTAACTGACAATATTCTTTATGTTCTTAATTCTAGGGAAGACCTAATCTGAACTGGGCCATCCAGTGCTTTCCTTTCTGAAGTGTGTCCTTATTTCTTTGTATTTATTTCACTATTTTTAAGTTGCTAGCATCTTGCATTTTGCCCAGATTTGCAACACTTACAGTAGGCTGTTGGGATTGGTTTTCATCTGTCCCAAGATTTGTGCACACTGTATCAACCATTCCTAGGAGTTTTGTTCAACAAAATATCTAGTAAGGCAATTGTCCTCACACGTTATGTGCTGTACAAATAGACAGTACCATGCTGCTCCAGGTAAACAAGTTTTTGTATTGCACATTTCTAAATTTATTGATTTTTCCTAGTAAAAAGTTAGTTTTGAAAGATTAACTATTGGCTGGTTTGGCATTAAATTATATATGTTAATCTTTCCTTTTAATTTCTGTTCTCAGGCTTGTATACAGAAAGTGGGAACACAGGACATGCTTGAATTGAAGCAGAAGTTGGTGGATGCTTTGAATTGTATTGCTTTCCTGATAGAATGTGTCAGCTTTTCGCCAGCAGACATTCGACTGAACAGGAACGTTTTTCAGTGGTATGTACGAATGCCAGATATCTTTGAAGAGCACAGAAACATAATTGAGGAGAAAACAGAACAGTTTCAAGATGGTCTTAAGGTTTGTAACGACGTGTAAAAAAACCTTTCTGTTACTGATTTTATATAACATCTAGAACATGAAATAATATTGGATGGAATAACTTCTTTTATTTTCTCATATATTCAAAAAAGTGTTCAATATAATTTTTTCATAATATTCTTGATATTAACTAATTTTTTGTCTGTTTTCCACTCATTAATATTTCAGACATGGTTAATTTTAAAATACAAACCACGCATCATATTTTGCTTTCTGAAAGCTCTTTGGTTACAGAATTTTCATTGATGTTGATGCAGGCTCTCTATATGGAATAGTAAAATTCAGATAGCTCCTTTAAAGACATGTTTACGTCTCAAGAAGATCCTTGTAATTGCAGTATATGAAATTTATGTTATAGGTCTAAGAAAACAATAATAATAATAAAGTATTAATTTATGTGTGATTTCACTGTTAGCATAATGGCAAATGTCTTAAATACATCTTAACTCAGGTGTTTTGGTTTTTTGTTTTTTTTTTAAAAACTTTTTTCTCTGCTACATTCTGTATTTCATTATTATTTACAAGACTCTTACGTTACAGTTCACTACACGAGTACTGGGTTATGTGCACAAGGATTGCTAATTATTGGGTTGCTGATGTGTCAGGGTTACTGCCTGTATCAACATATGCTTTGGCTTTCTTT